TCCTTCCGTTGGTTCGCTCCCCAAATGGCCGCTACGGCCAGCGCTGCACCTATCCGAAGCCAGGAGCTAGGTGCCTCCTCCTGGTCTCCCATGTGGGTGCAGGGCCCAAGCACTTGGGCCATCCTCCACTGCCTTCCCGGGCCACAGCAGAGAGCTGGACTGGAAGAGGAGCATCTGGGACTAGAACCTGGCACCCAAATGGAATGCCGGCACCACAGGAGGAAGACTAAGTGAGCCACGGCGCCGGCCCCAAAAGATCTCTTGCTCTCTATATCTCATTCTCTCTCTCTCTTTCTTTGCCTATCAAACAATAAATCTTCTCTTAAAACAGGAAGATTATCCTGGGTTATCCAAGTAAGACTCCCATAATCACAACGGTCCTTAAAAGTAGAAGAGAAGGCACAAGGGATACTCAAAGAAGTGTCAGTGTGAGAAGGACATAGCCCTGCACTGTGGACTTTGGAAACGGGAGGAAGCAAGAAGCCAAATAATGTGGGCAATCTTTAGAAGCCAGATATATATGCAAAAGACATGAACACATCGTATAAGAGATTCCTGCATCACTATGCTTACAGCACCACTGTTCACAATAGCCAAAATATGCAATGGTGTCCATCATCAAATGAGTGGGTTAAAAAAAGTAGTATAAATATACACAATGGAATATTATTTAACTATGAAAAAGAATTAAATTCTATCACTTGCAGTAAAATGGATGCAATTGGAGGACATCAGGTTGAGTGAAATAAGACAGTCATGGAAACACAAATATCACATGTTCTCTTTTGTATATGGGAGCTAAAATTAAAACAGAAAAACAAAACAAAAAGGAAAAAAGCCTACATCTATCAGTATTGCTTCAAGACAGTTTTGTCAAACTCTTGTTGTATGCCTTTGTCAAACCGGTGGTTAAGAATGATACGCTACTTGGCTGGCGCCGCGGCTCACTAGGCTAATCCTCCACCTTGTGGCGCCAGCACACCGGGTTCTAGTCCCGGCCGGGGCACCAGATTCTGTCCCGGTTGCGCCTCTTCCAGGCCAGCTCTCTGCTGTGGCCAGGGAGTGCAGTGGAGGATGGCCCAAGTACATGGGCCCTGCACCCCATGGGAGACCAGGATAAGTACCTGGCTCCTGCCATCGGATCAGCGCGGTGCGCAGGCCGTGGCGGCCATTGGAGGGTAAACCAACAGCAAAGGAAGACCTTTCTCTCTCTCTCTCACTCACTGTCCACTCTGCCTGTCCAAAAAAAAAAAAAAAAAAGAATGATACGCTATTACAGTTTTAATGACCTGTGATTGCTTTAAAATTTGCTGTATATGAGTAAAATGGTCATCTTTTCATTTGATTACTGTTTATAGTCCTTGCCTATATTCCCAGTGAACTAGTTTTTTGTTTTTTTTTTGTTTTTGTTTTTGTTTTTGTGGGTTTTTTTACTCTTTATTTGTTGAACCCTTTATGTAGTAGAATATTAAGCCTTTGACTAAGATGTAAATTAAAAATATGTTATCTCAAGGGACCGGCGCTGTGGCACAGTGGGTTAATCTTCTGCCTGCAATGCCGGCATCCTATATGGATGCCAGTTCGAGTCCCAGCTGCTCCTCTTCCAATCCAGCTGTCTGCTGTGGCCTGGGGAAGCAGCAGAAGATGGTCCAAGCACTTGGGCCCCTGCAGTTGCATGGGAGACCCTGAAGAAGATCCTGGCTCCTGGCTCCTGGCTCCAGATCAGCCCAGCTCCAGCCATTGCAGCCATTTGGGGAGTGAACTTGTGGATAGAAGACCTTTCTTTGTGTCTCTTCCTCTCACTGTAACTCTCTCTCTCAAATAAATAAATAAAATCTTTTTTTAAATGTTATCTCAAAAATTAAAAAATGAAGGAAGCAGAAAGAAAGGAGGGGGAGGGAGTATCATATTCTTAGAATTGTATCTGTGAACTACAGTGAATCTTCCTTTTGTATTAATATCATATTAACACAGAAAAAAAAAGTTAAGGATCTTGAAGTGCGGAAATTAGCCTAAATTTCCCAGGTGTGCCAAAGTAATCACAAGAGTTTTGTAAGACACACAGGCGAGTCAGAGACACAGTTTAAAAGACGCCACAATACTATATGTTTTCCCTGATCTGTGGTAACTCATAGAGTACAAGACAATGCAAAGCATACGAGCAAAATCGACATTTTGAGGACTGATTATTTACTGTTGAGGAACAGTGTTTTTGTCTTCTAAAAAAAAAAAATGCCCCATTACTAGCTTTGAAGACGGAAGGAGGGACCTGGAGCTAGGAAATGCGGCCAGACTTTAGCAATCAGGAATCACAAGAAACATCTCTTTCCTGAGATCCACAGAACGACTGATTCCAGCCCCGCAAGCCCATTTCAGACTTCTGGCCTTCAAGGCTGCAAAATAATAAATGTGTGTGGTTTGAAGCCGCCACGTTTGTGGGAACTTGTTCTAGCAGCCAAGGGAAACGAATGCAGTAGCCTAAAATAGCAATGGGGATTCTAACGGGCAGCGAGCCACGATTCTCACAGGCAGATAAAGGTTCCTCTGACAACACTCCTAGCAGAGCTCTCAAAAGTGTCACCTGGCTCACCTCTCCAGCCACCGATTTTTACAGGCAGGTATTTTGTGAAGATTTCAGTTTCAATCATACCCATCTGGGAGATGACATAACTGAGGCGCAGGTAACAGCAGTAACTATAGATAATAAACATAGAGCGCTTGCCCTGAGCCAGGCATGGGGCTGAGCACTTTGTGAGTATGATTTGATTCAGTTTTCCCCACTACCTGATTTGCATGTGCTGGCAAGAAAAGCGAGGGGCTGAATCTAAGTCAGTTTTTAAAATCCTTATAGGTGTAAGGCGGGGACTGGATCTGGGTACTTCAGGTGCTAAGAGCACTGTGCCTAGGGGGACAGCATCACCTCCTTTCATCCCTGTCAGGGTCATCACCACCAGTGACTGACAGGATTCAGCCCAGCCCTGGCGTTCCCTCCCATCTCCCTTCCTGGGTGGCTGTCGGCCGAGCCACGTGGCAGGGTGCAAGGGTGACCTCACAGGCTGACGCTCCAAGAGCCCACGTGGCGCTGAGTCCTAGCGACAGTGGAGATGAGCTCCTCTCTCTCTCTGGACACTTCAGAGCCTGGGAGTCATCCCTGCCTGCAGGTTAAACAGGGAAGCTCGCCTTTGTTTCTTAGAAGATGGGGATCCCTGGGGAGGACTCCCTTGCATGTGCAACCGACCAGGGGTCAGCGAGTCCCAAGGCACTGGGTCCCTGCCAACTTGACCAGGCTTTCGCCTCGCCCACTGGTCCCAGCCTGCTTGCCCTGAGCCCTGGGCCTGGCTCCCCCTCTTGCTCCCTCCCTACTCCCTCATGTCACCCCTTGCCTTCTCTCAGGTACTGTTTCTAGGCCAATTGTGGCATTTTTTTCCCCTAAAGCTTCCAATGGTTCTTTTATTCCCTCCCTATCTTCCAAACAGAAATCATCTTTCCTTTTCTTTAAATCTCAGGCCTCGTTTTCAACCACCTTCTGCTGAACAGAGACACAGGGCATTAGCTGTCCAAGAGACTTGGACTCTGCCATGGCCCGCCCAGCAGTGCAGGTGGTCCTGTGTGCCTATCAGCAAGGAACCTCAGAGCCCTGATTTATAGAAAAGAGTGGCTGGCAATTTGCTGGGGGCAGGGGGCGGGGGGATGGGGAGTGAGTTGGAATTCTTTTGGCCAGAATAAAAGTGCAGACAGATAGGGAAATGGGAGTGAAGGCCCGTGGGTGGCCTGCTCTTCCCCAGGAGGGTCTGGGGGACAAGCTGCAGGAGCTGAGTGGGAATGCTCCAGGCCATAAGCCCATCTCGGCCTCTTGACACGGTTTTAGGATGCCATGGCTTTTGACAGCACACAGGAGAAGGCTCTGGCATGCAAAACTCCTGGTCACCACCCTGGGGTACCCACCCAGAGGCCTTCCTCATCCTGCTCACACCAGCACCCTGACCTTCCTGGAAAGACGGGGGAAGGAGCCCACCTCCCAGCATCAGGATGCACTGGGCCCGTGGGAGATTTTCCTGTCCTATCTCGTCTCGTCCTCACAGCCCTATTAGACAGATGAGCAAACTGAGGCACAGCGGAACTGAGAACCTCCAGGTGACCCAGCCTGCCGGCTTCCTGGCTGGGGTCTGAAGCAGGCAGGCTGGCCCCAAGGTCTCTGCCCTCGACTGGAGCTTCCCGCGGCCTCTCAAAGGCCCCCCGGAAAGTGTACTTGGGGCAGGCACAGCCTGGCTTCCTGGCTTCTGACAGACAGCTCAGATCTTGGTCAGTGGGTTTGTTCAGGGTGGGAGGTAACAGCCCTGAGGAGAGTGCCTTCCTGGGTGCCCAAGCCCTGGACACCCCACCAGGGGCAGTCTCCCGGTTTTCCTGTCCTCTCTTGAACCTGTCCTGGGTGGGGGCGGGGAGGGGTCTGCCAACTACCCCCAAAACGCCCTCCCTTTTGTCTCCCCCTTTGTAAGATAGGGAACAAGAACAAAATCCAGACGACATCATGAAAATACCAGCCTCCCACGGGGAAATCCGAATCATGGGCTGCCCAGCTCATGGGAATCACCCTGGGTACCCGCTTAACAAGTCCCCGATTCCCTGCGGCGGTGTAGACCCAGTCGGGGTGTCCCCGCTGAGGGGCACAGCGCCCCCTCGGGGCACTCCGGGGCCTCAGCCGGCGCCGTGCGTGTGGGACTCCCGGCGCCCCTCGTTCCCCCGGCCGAGGGGTCGGGGCAACGCCGTCCTCCCCTCTCCCGCGGTCCCCAGAGGGGTCGGGAGCGCCGGGTGCTGGGGACCGCGCGGAGCCGCAGGGGCTGGAGTGCCGGCCCTGGGGGAGCGCGGGAGCGCTCGCTGTCTGTCGGCGGGTCTGTCCGTCTGTCAGCCGATCGGTCCGTGCGCCCGCCTGTCGGTCGGTCGGCGTTCTGCGCCCCGGCCGCCCAGCCGTGCAGAGCCCCGGGAAAGCGCGCCGCGCTCACCTGCAGCCTCCATGGCCCGAGCCTGGGAAGCGAGACAGGGGCGCGGCCACCCCGGTCCTGGTCGTTGGCCTTCTCGCCTGGCCGAGGGCCGCGGCTCTCCTCGGGGGTCGCTCGTGGGAGCCGAGCAAGAAGCCCAGGCCGCTGCCTCCGCCGCCGCCGCCTCCAAGTCCCATCCCAGAGCGCTCCCCTCGCTCGCTGGCGGCCTGGGAGGCTCCGGGCAAGCGCGGGGGAGGCGGCGCCGCGGCGAGGGTGGGGAGCGCGCCGGGCGGAAGGAGGGGTGTCCTCTTTGGGGACGGGGAAGGCGTGGGCAGGCGCGGGGCGAGGACGGCCCCCGGGGCTGGGAGCCCGGGCCGCGCGCCCTGTCCGAGCCCAGGCGCGGGTGGGACTCCGGGGTCTTGGGGAGCTCTCGGGGCGTGTGGGGGAGGATCTCCTGTGCAAGGGATGCCAGGCAGGGTTCCCATATCCTGCACCGGGGGTCCTGATCTGCAGGAGACAGCCACCATGACGAGGATTGAGGAAAAGTGAGAAGTGGGATAACTGGTGACAAGTGCCAGGGGCCGTCTTGGCAGTGCCCAGACCAGCCCATGGGTGCCGGTCCACATAAGAGAGCGTCCACTGGCTGGGGACCAGCCCCCCCACCCCCACCCCGGGGTGGGGACTGGGGAGAGGATGCCAGGACCGAGAGGAGACAAGGTTACTACCCAGCAGCGGCAGTGAAAGTCTAGTTCAGACAAGAGTTTCCAAGTTACAGGGGAAGACATTAGCAACTTTGTAAAGCAAGGGGAGCTTACCTCCGGAGTCCTAAGGGAGCCTTGGAGGACGGGCCAGCAGCAAGGAGAGGGGCTAGCGCCCGCCCAGTTGGAATATGTGGGCTCTCCAACAAGCCAGAGTATCCCCTACCAAAGTTCCAGAATTCTATCCTCAAACTACACACCCAAGCGCCCAGTTCAGGTTTTAACAAGCTATGGGGAGAGGCAGTCGAACCTCACTGATTTCAAAACCTCTGGATGTGCCAGAGTCTGATCATTGAGGAGCTTTTGGCTGGCTGGGTTTTGTAATCACCCGTCACTCCTATTAGCTGATAGAATTGGTTTCTGAAATAGGAAAGCTCTGAAAGTGACTCTTGAGAATTCCAGCCGTGCGGCAAAGGGTTAATACACTCAAGTGCATTGCACTCCCGTTCCCTTACTCCCCCCTCACCTAGCACCTTGGGCCCACTTGGCGCACTGGGCCGCCTGCCCCATCAGGAATAGCTTCTTTGTGTGTCTTTGGGAGGTGGGAGGTGGAGGTCCAGAAGCAGAGGAAAAGTCTTCAGGAAATGTTTGGTCTCCAAAGTCTTGGATCCCACAGCAGAAAATTCTTCCTGATTCCGGGCCAGTGAAAATCCCTCAGGAGCGAGGCAAGTTGAATTACGGTTTATGGAAACTTGTATTTAAAATGTGTTGCCTTATTCCAAGACACCAGGAGGATCCAGTAAATTACCAGGAAAACAATAGCAACCTGGAAATCCTTCCCGACTGTAAGGACATTGTCATTGGCACGGTCGTTGTAGTGATTCTTTGGGTTGGTGTATGCCAATTCACATGGCCACTTCCCCTCCAGGGAGTTCTATCAGAATTCTCCAGAATAGGAAATCCAGGTAGGAAGCGCAGCTGGGGCTTAATCAGGTCAGAAGAGTGTTCTACCTTGTTTGATGATCTTCAGGTTGGCCAGAAATAAAATGAAGCAAGTGACGTAGCAGATAAAGCTGCCGCCTGCAGTGCTGGCATCCCATATGGGCACTGGTTCGAGTCCCAGTTGCTCCACTTCTGATCGAGCTCTCTGCTGTGGCCCGGGAAAGCAGAAGAAGATGGCCTAAGTCCTTGCGCCCCTGCACCCGTGTGGGAGACCTGGAAGAAGCTCCTGGCTCCTGGCTTCAGATGGGCACAGCTCCAGCCGTTGCGGCCATCTGGGGAGTGAACCAGCAGATGGAAGACGTAAAACAACTCCTGAGTGCATGAGGAGAAATGTACAGTTGCAGGGTAGCTGGCTCGCCCCTGCTTCTCGAGCTGACAGATGCTGTGCTAGTCCCAGGTAAGCTGTCACCGCTGCTCTCCCTCAGGTAGAGGTGAACATGTCTCATCTGAGAAGAAGCATCTGCCCCCTGGGGGCCCGCTGCTCCATGGCTGGAGCTGGACGTGTAGGGTTGAGAGGGGAGCTTGGCAAGGTGGAGGCTGTGTTCCCATTGCAGCCCAGGGTGGGGCAGCCTGCTAGGTGGGGCAGCGCTCCCTTCCTGATGCCCCGTCACCATGGACAAGCTGGTTCCATGTCCAGAGCGTGTCTCAAGGACAGGCTCACCGATAACACCGTTGCCTCAAGATAAAATGATTTAGAAAGAAATCTATCACCCCACCTTGGAAAGACAAGATGAAAGTGGTCAGGTAAAAAAAGACTTGAATAAGTCCAAAGTTGGTTCAATACTTAAAAAAGGAAAGCAATACTTACTGCAGAGAGGACTCGTGTTTTTAGGTGATCTCAAACCTAAACCGTGAGCTCCTGAGTGCAGGCACTGGCTCTTTGTTTACAGTCTCGCCCTATGCCACACAGTGGAAGGGACTAGGCTGCTGTGGCTTTCACTGAGAGCCTTGTGCTGTTGTTGGAGCTCCCATCAAGGATAATAGGGCGCAGGAGGGAGCCTTTAAGCATAGCCACAGAGAACAGCGATATGTTTTCTTGGGAACTAGCAAGACTGAACCACCACTTGCTTATCTGGACACTGGGTTCCCCTTCTCAGGATGAACCTGGTGTGTGTGTGTGTGTGTGTGTGTGTGTGTGTAAGCACTGCTCAGTAATGCAGATTGCTGCTGCTTTTGTCTCTAAACCTAGGAATTATCACAAAGTAGTCTGTGACTGGAAGCCAGGGGTCTCAGTCCTGTGACACCCAAGTAACTGCCTACAGCTGCATTGGTTGCCTGGTGCTACCGCAGGTTGCAAATAGTTGGGCATTGCCTACGTGCATGTGTCCTATAAAACCCCCCAGCATGCTGGCAGAGCTCAATAAGTAAGGACCCAAGAATAAGAAAAGTACCAGAAGTCTTTCCTACGTTCTCATCTGCTGAAGAAAAAAAACTGGGCCATGTGGGTCCAAGAGAGGGGGAAACATCTGTGGTTGGTGGAAAGACTAAGGGGAGGAACAGCAGTCACAAATTGTTAAGAGGGAGAGAAACAGGACCTAGTGCAACAAAGCAAGCTGTTTTATGATAGAGCAGGCTCTGAGAAGAAACACTGGAAAAGTCTTGACTCTTCTAAAACAAGAATTGGCAAAGCAATTCCCCAGCATGGAAAGTGATCCAGAATCACATTATCTATGAACATTATCTGTGAACAATAAGTAAGAGAGAGAGAGAGAGAGAGAGAGAGCTCGAAAGGATGTTAAGAAGGGGATGCAATAACCAAAGTTCTAAAGAGTTGAAAGTTTATTTTGCTTAAAGCAAAGTGTCCAAACTAGTGCAGCATCCCTGGCCCAAGCTTAATGACGGGGCACCATGTAGCACTGCTTCACCTCACACTCTGGCCTACATGTGGGACAGAAAAGTATCAATTAATGTAATACATCATAGCAATAGAATAAAGGACAAGGGGCCAACACCGTGGCACAGTAGGTTAATCCTCCGCCTGCAGCGCCGGCATCCCATATGGGTGCCGGTTCTAGTCCTGGCTGCTCCTCTTCCAATCCATCTCTCTGCTGTGGCTTGGAAAAGCAGTAGAAGATGGCCCAAGTCCTTGGACCCCTGCACCCACATGGGAGACCAGGAAGAAGCACCTGGCTCCTGGCTTTGGATCAGCACTGCTCCGGCCGTTTTGGCCATTTGGTGAGTGAACCAATGGACGGAAGACCTTTCTCTCTGTCTCTCCCTCTCACTGTCTGTAACTCTACCTCTCAAATAAATAAATAAGATCTTAAAAAAAAAAAAAAGGGATAAAGTGTCGCTCCCCCTCTTCGTGGAGGAACGACACAGGACCCTGCGCTGTTCTTTCGTCTGCTCGGCCCTCCCCGGGTTTGCTGCTGGTTCTTCCCGGGTTGGCTACCGTCCCTTCCACCTCCGTGGAAGGGCAGTTCCCCCTGGCCGCATTCCCCACTTCCGCAGGGGAGCGGCACACCGCCGGCCGGCTTTCTGGGGGGCTGCACGGGTTCCCTTAGATGTTCCCCATAGATGTTCCTGGTGCATGCCGTCTCTCTCCTCCTTTATAGTCCTCCTCCGCCAATCCCAACTCGGCTGCCCACACGCCGAGTACGCTGCTCTCCAATCAGGAGCAAGTCCTACAGTTAATTGGTTGAACTGGAGGCAGCTGTGCGGAAGCTGTTTACTTCTCTCCCAGCGCCATATTGTGGGAGAGCAGATGCATAGAATAAGTCCTAATTCGAGTAACTTAGTCCAGTCCGGATTGCTCCCCACAATAAAGGACAAAAGCGACCTAATCTCAAAATGTGCAGAAAAAGTCTTTCACAAATCCAACATCCGTTCACAACAAAAAACATTCAACTAGAAATGGAAACCCAATAGAGGGCATCTGTAAGAGACCCACAGTGAATATTGTCCTCAGTGGTAGGAGACTGAAATCTTCCTTCTTGGATCAGGAGCAAGACAAGGATGTCTTCTCTGACCACTTCTATTCGACATTATACTAGGAATTCTACCCAAGGCAAGACAAAGAAATAAAAGGCATCCAGATTAGAAAGAAAAAAGTAAATCTCTGTTTGGCAACAACATGATCTGATATGTAGACATTCTAAAAATTGCACTAAAAAACTGCTAGAACTCATATATTAGCATGGTTTCCAGATACAAAATCAATATCCAAAAACCGATTGTATTTCTGTGCACTTGCAACACACCTGCAAATGAAATTAAGAAAGCAATTCTACTCACAATAGGGGGGGAAGGAGGAAAGGAGGGGAAGAGGGAGAGAGAGAGAAAGAGATCAAGATCATCCATCTGCTGGTTCACTCCCCAAATGACTGCAGTGGCCAGGATGGGCCAAGCCGAAGCCAGGAGCCAGCAACTTCTGAGTCTCCCACATGGGTGCAGGGGCCTGTGCATTTGGGACATCCTCCGCTGCTTTTCCATGCACATTAGCAGGGAGCAGAATTGGAAGTAGAGCAGCCAGAACTCGAACCTTATGGGATCCTGGCACTGCAGGCGGCAACTTTACCCACTGTGCCACGTGCTGGCCCCTAAAGAGTACATTTTTTAAAGATTTATTTATTTATTTATTTGAAAGTCAGAGTTACACAGAGACAGGAGAGGCAGAGTGAGAAAGAGAGAGAGAGACAGAGAGGTCTTCCATCCGATGGTTCACTCCCCAATTGGCCGCAACAGCCGGAGTTGTGCCAATCTGAAGTCAGGAGCCAGGAG